ACAGTGTCCTTTGCTTTACAGAAGCTTCTCAGTCTCAAGAGGTCCTATTTATTCAATGAGGCTCTTACTGTCTGTGCTGCTGGGGTTATACGTAGGAAGTGGTCTCCTGTGCCCACGTGTTGTAGAGTACTTCGCACTTTCTCTTCTATCAGGTTCAGTGTGTTCAGACTGTTATTGAGGTCTTTAATCCACTTGGACTTGAGTTTTGTGCATGGTGATAGATATGGATCTATTTTCATTCTTCTACAGATTGGCATCCAGTTTTGCCAGCACAATTTGTTGAAGATGCTCTCTTTTTTTCCATTGTATACTTTTAGCTCCTTTATCAAAAATCAGGTGCTTATAGGTTTGTGGGTTAAAGTCAGGGTCTTCTATTTGATTCCATTGGTCTACAAGAAGAAAACTCTTGAGAGAAATGACAGCTCAGCTCATCTACTACAGTGACAACCATACTGGTGGTGAGAAAAACTTGTAACTGTTAGGGCAGGGTTCTGCTCTTATTTTTGCAGAAAACATCATCAAAAATTCAAGACACCCTGGATGTTTGAATGCTGATAGAAGGAAAAATAAGTATCCACTAAGGAGCATCTAGAAAACAGAATATGGATTATGAATCCGGGTACTGGTTAGACTTACACACATACTCACACACACACACACACACACGCACACACACACACACACACTCAGCTGGCTTTGGAGTTTGACAATGGCTCTCTACTTCTCTAAATCCAAGCATGTTGTTAAAAGGAACCTCCAGAGTTTCTGCTTCATATTGGGAGTCCATCTGGTATGAGAGAGAAGGAAGACTTTAGGAAAAATTTTACTTTCTCCATGCCTATTTTGTTTATATCATATTCTTCACTGAATGTATGTTTATATGAATGTTAAAGTTTTCCACAATCAACAATAGATTTCCCTACAGATTCTTTTCTTGCAGTAATCTCTTGAAATTTCAAGGAAGATGGGGCCCCCCAGCAACAACTCCAGCTAGTTCAGATGACATCATGATGCTGACAGTGCTACTGTAAGACCGCTCTTTTTGGTTACAAGCTGCCGAAATGGTGCACCTTCTCATGACATTCTGGCCAGAACTCCAAATAAGAACTTAAAAGAAAAATCTATCGACTGCTCAGAAATTGTTTGCAACTATACTAGACAGTGATTTTGAAACTTAATCATCACTTTACTTTTGCAGAATACCATTAAGAGACCATCAACCCCATGACAGTGGGAAGCAATTTTAGAAGATGACATCCCCTATCCTAAAAAAGTTTGTCCATAGGGTTGAGAACTGTTTAGGGATTGTTGATTATCACTTGTACTAGATAGAGGGTTGGGGTGAAAACTATGTTTGTTAAAAAAAAAGAGGGGGATAGTAATAATGGGTAATAAAATGAATACTTACGAGCTATTATTTATGGGTAATTTACATTGGTATAGTTTTTTATATTGATACAAGTTCAAATTATATTTCTTATTTTTGTTTATATTATTTGTACACCTATACAAAGTTATTCTTTCAGATTGTATATATGCATGTTTTTTATCTCTGTTTAGGACATTTTGTATATTGATACAACTTTTAGGATATATTTTAATATTGTATTATAACTCCTACCTCTGATCAAGATACTTATAGTTTGTTTACATTTTGAGGTCATCATCCTCATTTGTTGCACTTTTGTTTACAATTATTTAATATTCTGACATGAAGTTATACAGGTATTATTATAGGTCAATAGTTGTTCAGGTTTTTGTACATACAGTCAGATCAATTAGGTTCTTTAGATACGTAGAGATTGTATTCTGTCTAGATAGGTAATCTTCAACCACTTCAAGGATCTGTGGAACATGGCATTTAAATAACTTAGGGTTCTGTTGACATGAGACATGATTGCTTCTGACAGCACCAATCTATTCCCAAGAGAATGTTGAGCACCAAAGACACTCACTTGGAGCTTGTTTTCTTCTTGGCAAAACTGGCCTTTGGGCCCTTCTATTATTCACAATTCTGAACTGTTGTAGGATTGTTTTGTCACTTATGTCATCACACCACTAGGCATGAACTGGGTACACAGACAAACTTACAGGCAAAATGCCCAATGACTAAAACCAATGGTTGTGTGTGTGTGTTTAGAGAGACAACTCTCAGAATAAAACACATTTCTCATTTTTCTAGCCGGGCACGGTGATGCATGTCTTAAATCACAGCACTCAGGATGCAGAAGCAGAAAGATCACTGTCAGTGTAGGAAAGGTTGTACAACATCAATACACACACACACACACACAAAACAACAGAGAAAAAGGACCATTGGAAAAATGGGACAACACCTCTTGAAGTCTTTTTTATTCTCAGCCACTGGTTTCCATATAATCCATCATTTTCAAAAACAAACATTGTCTAGCATGTTAGCTCATGCCACAATCCTAGTACCTGGGAAATAGAGGCAGACTAATCACCATGAACTCAAGGTCAGACTGGTCTAAATAGTCATTTCCATTGTAAAAGCAATCTCAAAACACAAAGACTAAAAGAGGAACACAATTTTGACTTGTGTCTTAGGCAATGTTCTATTGCTGTGCAGAACACAGAAATTCTTATAAAAGAAACTATTTAACTGGGCAATTCTTACATTTTTTGGAGGTTTAGTCCATTATTATTGTCTTAGTTGATATCTTCTTTATAATATAAAAGAGGGGGATGATGGGGAATCTCCGTCAGCCAATGAACTTTAAGAGGTGAGACCAGGTTAGGGTGTGACCTTTTGGGTACTCAGAGAAAAGCACAGGGCTGTCCAAGGTTTCTCTCTCTCTCTGTGGTTCCCCTGCTACACAGCTAAGCTTGGACTTCTCATTACTGTTCTGTTTGCCCCTTATAATAAAGAAAATTATAATTGGTTTTGTCTTGGAGTTAGCCTGTATTTTACAACTCACGTTAATTCAACAGGGGGAGATATTGGTCAGAGGTAGCAGTCAAAATGGCCTGGTGGCTTTTTCCAAGCTCAGCAACATGAAGAACTCTCTTCCCAGCAAGGCTTCCTGCTCTCTACCTGCCCTTGACATCTGGACTCTTGTCTCTATACCCAGATGCCTGATTTATCTCAAGAATTACCCTTGATACAGTTCGCTGCAAATGCTCCTTCCTTACTGCCCACATAGTAATTAGGCAAATTTCTAGCCATCTTGATAGGGTGATGCTTACAGCTATACGATAGGAGTGTGCCACTTAGTTCAATTTAGGATTTGTCCCTAGGCTTCACAAGCCTGTGTAATACTCTGGAATGAAGTTGAGTTGTGTCTCTGAAGTTAGCTCCTGGAGGGCTAATTGGCATTGTGTTCACAGACTGTCCAAGTATCTCTGTCACAACTTTTGCTCCTTTGACCCTGTGGATTGAAGGCTAAAGATAAGGGGAAACCTCATCCTAGTGCCATGAACACAGACTTCTGGAATCCTCAGGAAATGGTGAGCACAGCAGCTCCCAAAAATGTGGCATTTTTCGCTTGGCTGTCCCTCAGAGGACAGGCAATTTTTCTCCTATCTTCCTCTCTCCTTTCTATAATGGAAAATTCTGCTTCTCACCAGGTACTCTCTCCTATAAATGTTTGCTCATAGAGGGCGCAGCCTGTCTCACCACTGTATATGCATGCAGGACGTGTAGTGGATGAGACTGCCACTTCTAACACCCCCCTCCCGCGCCAATCAGCTGACTGCTCGTGGAGCCCATGACCTTGTCACTGCCTACAGAGCGCAGCAAAGCAGGAGACCATATCCCAACATCTGCTTCCAGGCAACCTGCCTGCTGCAGAGTAAAGCCTTTGTCTCTACCGTAGTACCCAATCCCATCCACCGCCAGTGTGCTCATCACCGCCAGACAGATCCTGTGATTCCACGTGAGGGCAGAACCAGGGGTGGGTTCTGACCAGTCCACCCAAAGGATTCATCTCTGCTGAACATATCTGGCTATGCCAGTGGCCCTGGAGAATCCTTCCCATTTGTCATAAATCCCAACCCCTCCACCTCCGCATCATTCCCCTCCCTGTGTCCTGCTGCTACCCCTTCCCCTCCAAGGGTGGCAGGCACTCCAGTGTTGAGTACAGGATGGTGATCAGGGAGCAGGTGAACCTGGCCAGGGGTGGGTTCTGCAGGGAACCACATCCTGTTCAGCAACCTGCCACCTGGCACACTTTAACCATGCAGTGAGCTGCAAAGGATTCCAGGACAGCTGGGAACACCCAGCAGGGAAGGTGACTGGGGACGAGAGCAACTGTACCTGTGGGGTGAAAACACTCTGCCCCAGATGTTACAGCTCCCTGCTCCCTGGCCACAGTGCTTGCTAAAGCTTGTGCCACATATCCGCTGCCATGCTCTCCTCTCCTAGGAGCTACAATCCTGTTTGCAGAAGACTAAAAGACCCATTAAAAATCTTTTCTCTATGCCTTAAAATTATTAAAATTATTCTAACTCAATATTTATAAGTTGCCCATTAGGCAAGATTCAAAATCTTGCTTGCTTTTTACCTCATGTGGATTATGGTTGTGCCCTGCTTTTTCTGACTTGAAGTAGAGAAAAGGTACCTTGTTTTTTGAGAGATCATAAATCTTTTTAAGAAGAAATTTTAAAATTTTACATTTAAATTACAAAATACTCAATATATATTAAATACCACATATAAATGCTAAAATAATTAAATACTAAATATAAATACTATATATATGCTAAGATAACTTTTGGATATATTTAGTATTTTTAAGGCTATAAAACATCTTAAGTCCATAAAAAGTTTTATTACAATATAATCTTTGTAAATAGGTAAATTTAACAATAAACAACCATTTTTTTTTAAATCAAGGCCTCAGCTAACTTCTTAGTTCTCCTCATGTATAAAGTTTAGGCCACATGACTCATTCTCCTCGCGCTACTACTAGGTCTAGATAGTTTTTCTTGTTACCAGACTCAGAAAGATAAACTCACAACACACACTTCTGATACTCAAGTTCCAATTAGTATTGATAATAAAAACCCAGAGTTAGATATTGGAGCCAATTCTGAGAGATCTGAGAGAGGAAACAGCCACAGTCAACTCTTACCTTGCTAACTCCTCAGTTGAAAAGAGAGTGAGTTCCTATCTCCTCCTGATTATACTCATCTCTCCTCCAGTCACATCACTTCCTGTCTTTCTGTACAGACCTCCAGACCTCTACAGCTAACTAGTAGCTAGCTCTGCCCTGAGATTTAGGCAATCTCTATTTGTAGAGTACAAATAAGATATCACACAGTTCCCCTTTTTGTCTAAAATAAAAAGGGTTATAACTAATATAAGAAAAATTATATACAATAAGCACAACTGTATACAGGCAACAAATACATCAAAAATTTATAGTCCATTAGCAATTAACAAATTCAGAGAAAATACTTCATATCTATCCTACTGTGATAAGTCCAAAAGGTTGTACCTAGTTCATTTTCTATTCTAACTTGTATTACCAAAGCTATCTTTTTTTTTCTTTCTTTCTGGTTTTTAAGAGTTTCAGGGGCTGGAGAGATGGCACAGCAGTTAAGAGCATTGCCTGCTCTTCCAAAGGTCCTGAGTTCAATTCCCAGCAACCACATGGTGGCTCACAACCATCTGTAGTGAGGTCTGGTGCCCTCTTCTGGCCTGCAGGCATACACACAGACAGAACATTGTATACATAATAAATAAATAAATATTTTTTTTAAAAAAAGATAGCGTTTCTCTGTGTAGCTTTAAGCTTGTACTACCTAAGGGGACCATTTTCTTTCAAATCACCGCAATTGCCATATGAAAGGGCCAAAAAAAAAAATTCCCACGAGATTTTCTTCCAGTTGCAACACATCTGTTATGGCATGGAAACCCATAAACATATTACACACACACACATACACAATGGTAATCTTTTTTTAAAAAAAGAAATCTCATTGCCCTTAGATTATCTTGAATTTCTAGATAATCTAGAATTATGATAATCTAGAATTATCTAGAATTTCTAGATAATTCCCTTAGAAAGCAAAACTTCAAGATGGAATGCCACATAAAAACTGGATCATAAATAAGGAGGAATGTCAATATATATATATATATATCCATAGTACACCAAACTGTTATACAATGTACAATTGGTTGCTGATTATTCTACATTATTATATCACATGCTATATGAAAATGCTGCTTAGGGTACACAGATTATATATTCAATGGTTCTTATATCCTCTTCTATTAAGCATTTTAACATTAACATTTTAAAAATGTATTGACAAAACTGTAGACATTGGGAGTGTATCTTCTATCCTTGAATTTGTACTCAGGAGGCTGACACATGAAAATCACGAGTTCAAATGCAGCCTTGACTATTTAGTGACGCCCAGGCCTGGCTGGAACACAAACAACATCTAAAGGAAATTTGTGAAAACATAAAAAAAGAATAGTAAAAACCCACCACCTTTTCAGACAGTCATTTCAAAAGTATGATCACATACTGTCTGATATTTAAATAAACAATGAGCCACATAGATGATGGGCACTCCATTCTATACATTTCAGCAGAATAAAATTATCACCAACTGAAAGCACAACAGAAAAACAGAAACCAGAGAAGTAATATATGAACTACCAAATAAACTTCTATAAATGGATTTGCCTCATATACAGAACACTTCAATACCAATTACAAATGCAAAATACAAGCAACACTGTGATCTCCACCATCAGACTTGAGTGAATATGTTAATGTATTTGCTTAAAGAATACAATAATTTTTCTTCTTGAAATTATAGATAACTGTGATGCTTAAAGTCATTATTATACTGATTACATGAATAGGGCTAGTCTCATGTATGAGTTCTTCCCTCTTTCCTAACTAATGTCAAGACTATATATAAAGGTTGTAAAATATTTATAGGGCTAGAGACAACCGAGTAGTTAAGACAAGTTTGTGCCCAGGAACAGGTGATTTTTTTTTTGACAACTTCCTATATATTTCCTGCTAGAAGTGTAGAAAGATCACAGGGTCTAACTGTTAGGAAAAAAGTAATAAGAGGGGTGGCTCCACTAGCGCAAAGAAGTCTAATTGGGTAAGATCAAACCAAATTAAAATGCCCATTATTTTCTTAAGTATGATGCTCTTGGGTGGCCGAGCGCATGGTGGGGAGACAGGAAAGCAGGGAGCACATGCAAACCCAGAACCATGTGTTCCTCCTCTGGTAGCCCACTTAAATACCCAGTGGGAGTGGCATATGCTGGGACTTGGAGTCCAGATCAATGCAACTCCCAGGCTAGGGGGGCTGGGATGGATGTCAGGGGCTGGGGCTATGCTCCATACTTCACACTAGTCCTGGGAACCATCAAGCACATGGATGTACTCAAAGACACACTGACATCATATAATAAAAATTAGAACAAATTGTTAAAAACATTTTCATTCATAACTATTTTTCTATGTAAACATTCATTCCTGTAACCCAGATGTTGAGGCGTCGAAATGTTTACATAGAGTTTTTTTTTTATTATTATTACTTGGTTCATCTGATAGAAAGCAAGCATGTAGGCTTTAAAATCAGAGAATACTTCTCAGTTGTTGGTATCACTTGGAATGTTTAGAGAATGCCAGTCTGTAGAGGAAATATTTCACTGGTGGTAGAATTTGAGATTTTTAAATCCTCACATCAGTTGAACTTTCTGCTCCATGCTTCAGGTTAAAAATATGAGCTCTTAGCTTCCTGCTTTCGCTGTCATGGTTGGCACAAGTTGCCATGGCTCTCTCATGATAACCTTGTATCCCACTAGAACCATGTGCCAAACTAACATTTTATAAGTTTCCTTAGATGTTGTGTTTCATCACAGCAATAGAAAAGGCATTACCACACATTCATAGTTTTATACTTGGATGAGTTATTTCATGTAATTGAAAAGTGTGATATTCAAAGTTTACCTTTGTCCAAATTCACAGTCCATGAAAGACAAAATAATTTTTTGTAATAAAATATAAATTTGTTGGTTAAAGACTTTAACAAATCTCTTATATTCATGGATTCCCCTTCAGTATGAGGTCTTTAAAATCCTCAAATTCTACTGTGATATACAAAGGCTTTAACTATTAACACGCTGTAAGATTTAATTTTGGATAAATTCTTTTAGGGTCAAAGACTAAGGTAATGGGTAATCACAACACTGCTTACTTACATAGGGTTACTCTCCATTATGAATTCTTTCATGACTTTGAGGATAATTGTGACATGCAAAGGTTTTTATTACATTGCTTACATTTATAGGGTTTCTCCAATATGAGAATTTTTAAAATTTAACAATTTCTTTATTGAATCATTGGGAATTTCTCATCATACACCCCCAATTCTGCTCACCTTCCAGTCCAGTTGTAGCTTCACCTTATCCCTGCACAATCCTCCCACCAAAAGAAAATCAAACAATCAAACCAAAACAAAACAGGTAAGCAAAAAACAGCAAAACAAAACAAAAAAACCTCTTTGCTCCTTCATTTTTTTCCACCTTTCCAACATCTCATTTGTCTTGGTGGTGTTTGGAGCCTTGGTGTTTCAAAGTATACCCTTTTGTCCATTCAGGTTTACTTGCAAATATTCATTGCAATGGGTCATTGGTTTTGTTCAAAGCCTCTGGGTTCTGGTATATCATCATCATTGAATCTTCACCAAAACTCCTCTTGCATATCCTACAGTTATTCCAAGTCATGGAGATCCTGAGGTATTGCTCCACAGGACCAGTCCCTTCATGAGTTCCAGTAGGTCCTAAATAGGGTAGATGTTAGAGTGGGCCAACTCCAGGCCCAGCTGTGTCTGAGCAGCAGTTGAACTGGTCAGTCCAGGCAACTGGGGCTTCCTCCCTTAGGCAAGGGGTGGGTGGAACCAGCTTCCTTATGGCCAAGTTATCAGGGTAAATCCTCTTTCACCAATGGTGAGGGGTGGGGCCATCTCCCCAGAGTGAAGGTATAGGGGTAGTTCTCTTGTAATGTCCAATGAGAGACAGGACCAGCTATTCCTGGGGCAAGCCAAGTGTGGGGAGGGCTCAGCATGGCCCTCTGATTTCATGACACAGTTTCTATCATCCCCTGAGATGACATGGGACAAACAACACAGAGCCCTGCTGCAGCAGGACCACAGATATTGCCCTCAGCAGGGGCTTGAGCCTAAATGACATCCTGGCTCTGGGCAGAAGCAGAGGCCACTCAAGCAAGTATGGCTCTGGTCGTGGCATGGCGACTAGACACCAAAGTCACAGATTTTGGCTTTATCCCCAGTTTCCAAGTAATGTTTGGAGGCAACATAGGCCTGGGACTTTAACACAGACTCCAGCTGGGGTAGAACCACAAACCCAGATATAGTCCACAGTAGCAGCCAGGTCTGGATGTCACTATTGTTCCAGGTGGCAGTGCCACTCAGATTGGTACTTGGCACTGGGATCCTAACATAACAGATCTTTGGCATTCATATGGTCTTCCATGGTAACAGGAACCTTGGACATCAACACAGACTGTTGCTGCAGTAGGGCTGCAAACCCAGACAAGGTCCTTAGCTGCAGCTCTGGCCCAGATATCACCTGGCATTGGGTAACAGCATGAGCTGCTCAGATCTGCATGGCCCCAGCTTCAACATGAACTCAGGTGGCTGATCTGACCCTGCGAATCTACCTGGACCTTCATGATTTCATGGGTTATGGGCAACACAGACTGAGGCTATAGTAGGACCATGAAGCCAGATATAGTCCTTGGCAGCAACCTGGGTCCATATGTCACCGTGTTTTCTAGTGGCAGCACAGGCCACACAGGCCAGAATGGTTGTGGCAGCAATGAAGTTCTCAAACAACATGGCCCCAGGTGGCAACCCAGACCCCAGGAATTCACATGGTCTTCCTGGCAACCAGATCCACAGACCCAGACTTGGCCCCCGCTGTAGCCCTGGCCCAGATTTCACCAGAGATCAGTATATAACATTTATAGCTGTATGGTCCAGATGCAGCATGGCCCATGGGTACCAATATGGTTTCAGGTGGCAAACCAGACAGCAGGAAATCACATATCCTTCAGCTGCAACAGGAACAACAGATGTCAGTTCAGGTCCTGGCTGTTGTAGTGCTATGGACCCATACATGGCCCTCAGCAGCAGCTCAGGACTGGAACACACAATGGCCCCATATGGCAGCACAGGCCACCTAGATCAGCATGACTCTGGTGGCAGAATGGCTCTTAGACACCTAGATGGCCACCAGTGGCACCACAGATATTTGGCATTCTTGTGCCATTTATTGGCAACAGACCCTTGCTGTGGTACTCTCCTGGGACCCAGGGATGGCCCTTGGCAGTAGCCCAAGACTGGATATCATAATGGCCCTGAGTGGTAAGAAAGCCTCCAACATCAGCCTACACCTCACCACACCTTTACTTCTGTTCTTCCTTGTTTCCATAGCATATGAACCATTCACTTCTTTCTCTACCATATATTTATTCAGCATATTGGAGCCAACTGTGTGGTGGCAGGTGGGCCCTTGAATGCCTTCCTGCCACCCCAAGTCATGAGGACACAGAATGGTCTGTGGGTGGCTTGATGCACCCTGCATTGAGTGGCATGAGATGGGCCCTGGATGTCTTCTGTCCAGTCAAGGTCTTAAGGACTCAAGTTGGCATGTTGGTGGTTTGTGCCCACCTGAGTCAAGTGGTATCACATGGGCACAGACATATCTTCCTGCCATGGCACAATTTGAGGAACTAGGCTGGCTTGTGTCTGCTTGAGCAGAGAGCGGTCAGATGAGTCCCGTATGTCTTTCTGCCACCGCAGTGTCTTGAGGACCCAGGTTGGCCTGTGGATGGCTTGTGTCCACCTGAACAAAGTAGCATCAGATGGGCCGTGGATGTCTTCTCCTAGTATGAGTTCTTTGATGAATCTGGAGATGAGCAGGCTGTGAAAAGGTTTTCCCACATTGCTTACATTCATAAGGTTTCTCTCCAGTATGAGTTCTTTTATGTGTTCGGAGAGCACTATGTTTTGCAAAGGCTTTCCCACATTCATTACATTCATAGGGTTTCTCTCCGGTATGAGTTCTGTTATGTGTTTGGAGACTACAGAGGTATGAAAAGGCTTTCCCACATTCATTACATGCATAGGGCTTTTCTCCAGTATGAGTTCTTTCATGCATTTTAAGAGAACTACAAATTGAAAATGCCTTACCACATTGTTTACATTCATAAGGTTTTTCTCCAGTATGAGTTCTTTTATGAATCTGGAGATGAGCAGGCTGTGAAAAGGCTTTCCCACATTGCTTACATTCATAGGGTTTCTCTCCAGTATGGATTCTTTCATGTATTTTAAGATAACTATAATCTGCAAAAGCTTTCCCACATTGATTACATTGATATGGTTTCTCTCCAGTGTGAGTTCTTCTATGTATTTGGAGACTACCATGTTTTGAAAACGCTTTACCACACTGATCACACTTATAGGGTTTCACTCCTGTATGAATTCTTTCATGTCTTTTGAGATGACTGTAATCTGCAAATGTTTTACCACACTGTTTACATTCACAGGGTTTCTCTCCTGTATGGGTTCTTTTATGAGTGTGGAGATGACTCTGTTGTGAAAACGTTTTTCCACATTCCTTACATTCATAGGGCTTTTCTCCAGTATGGACTCTTTTATGAATGTGGAGGTAACTCCGCTGTGAAAAGGTTTTACCACATTGACTACATGCATAGGGCTTCTCTTCAGTATGACTTCCTTTATGCCTGTGAAGATAATTGACACACGTAAATGCTTTACAACATTCATTACGTTGATGCATGTTTTTCTATCTGCATGACTTAATTTGACAGTTTGGTATAATGGTAAAGAAGAGTCAGACCTTGAGATTTTACCAGGTTGTTTACATTCATAGGGCTCCTCTTCATTATAGGTTCCTTTGTGTGCTTCAAGATACCTGTGATATTAAGAGCACTTAGTACATGGCTCACATTTATAGCATTTTTATGTGAGTTTTTTCACATAGTTGAAGAGAACTGAAGAACTCAGAGTTACACACTGATTACATTCATAACAGTGAATCACACTACATTTGCAAACTGAACCAGAACAAACAGAAGAATTCCCACTTTTTGTATTCAGAATTTTCTGTGGTATGAGTTAATATATTTCAGATGAAGTTTGAAAACAATAATTGTAAACTTATTTCACATTCATAAAGTCTACTCAAAGTGGGGACTATTGCATATCTTCTAATTGTTCAAGGAGGAAAGTACATTGCTATTCTTTCCTTATCTTTTAGGCGTACATGGCTTGTTTCAAGAGTGACATATAATATACCAATAAAGACAGAGCAAATTAAAGTTTCCATATTGCACCATGACAGCTAAATTTTTTGTTCCTCATGGAGATATGCTATTAAAGTTTCTCCACAATAGCCTTCTTAACTCTCATAAATTGCCACACTCACAATAATTTGGTAACTCACCAGAAGAACATGAGTAGCACTAACTTTACTAGGGATTATTTGCTTATTAGATGACTTTAATGTGTACATATGATCAAGTATGTGTTTTGCTATATCAGCATGGTATGGAACTAAATTGGTTGATAGATCTATAGCCTAGCTCTCATGGAGCTATAATTAAAATGGTGATATTTGTTATCTTTCCTTTCTTCTTCTTCTTCTTTTTTTTTTTCAGACAAGCCTTCTCTGAGTTGCTTTGGAACCTGTCCTGAAGTAGCTCTTATAGACCAGGCTGGCCTCAAAGAGATCCACTTGCCTCTGCCTTCCCAGTGCTGGGATTAAAGGTGTGTGCCACTACTGCCCAGTAGTGTTTTCTTTCTTAGAAGAATGCCTTGTAAACAGATTAGATACTTGACATTTAGGTACATAGTGTTTTGAGAATTTAATAATCATCAATACACTTAAAAGTGTGCTTATTTAGACAGTTGCTTTTCTTTAAAACTTTTAAGGCACATTAAAATTCTTCTGTAGGACATCTGTTTTAGCTTGCACATGAAAATTACCTTTCATGTCTTCTAAATCTTTGACAATGTTCTTCAATATTATGGTCTTCCCATTTATAGCCTGAAATATAGAACCAGAAAATGCATGATATATTACTGGAAATTATGCAAACTTTAAGTTACTATATTCAGTGACCATAAGAACCATGCTTGATTTATTCACCTTATTCTTCAGCTTTTTCAGACTCAGTTATAGAAGAGCATAAATAACCAAGACATAGTTGTCTCCTTATTTTAAATGTTGAAGGGAAATTCAGTCTTACCTAGAGCAGTAAGGTTACTGTAGGTCTCCAGCATCACATCTTTGTAGAGAATTTTCTGGGAAGGTTGCAGCAAAGCCCATTCTTCGCAAGAGAAGTGGATGTGCACATCATCAAAGGTTACTGCATTCTGAAATATCCCATACATGTGTACAACAGAAAGTGTGATACTGATCACAATGTCAATGTATACATCTTTGACAATAGCATAATTATTGTGTTTCATACTTATTCCATTACAGAGAGGATTTTTTTTCCTAGAAAGAAACTGAAAAGGAGGTTCAGATATGTCATTTCTTTGCCATTTGAAAAGGATTTACCCTTCCAAGAGAAATGACTATTAACAGACATATAGAGACAAGGAAAGAAAAACCAAGATTAGGTATGCATCAGAGAAACTGAATGAACAATTGCTAGCTACAAAAAGATGTTTACTCGTTTTGGTATATACTGTCTCATGCCTTTAATCCTATCACTCAGGAGGCAAGGGCAGATGAATCTCATTAGTTAGAGGCCTGTCTGTTCTATGTAATGACATACAAGACAGCCAAAGGTACATATTTGGACCTTTTCCCACTCCCCGCAAAAAGAGGATCTTACTGAAGTTCCTACAAAGAGATATGCATTCATTTCAGTTCTGCACTCATTTCCAGAAACCTGAACTGTCATAGTTTAAATTGTAAGATGAATAAGATTTTACTAAAATCTAAAAGGGAATGAATGTTTAAAACCATTAGAGATGGACAGATGAAAATGCAAGCATTGTAAATGGAAATAATGAAAAAAAGGAAAAAAGAAAAAAAACAGGGCAGGATAGGTGGCTCAGGAGTGAACAACATTTTCTGATCTTGTAGAGGAGATGGGTTCAATTTCCAATACTTATATGAGGGCTCACAACTATCCATAACTCCAAGTTCAGAGTTTTTGGAGTTCATGTTCTGACTACTGGGTTCACCAGGCACATATGTGGTACATATCCATGTAGACAGGCAAAATGCTTACATTTGTCCTTACCCACTCTTCTTTAGGGTTCCCTGAGTTATCACTCAAGGAGGTTGGTTGGTAGTGGAAAGTTAAAAGAGTTGTAATTGGATATTATCACTAAAGGAAGATTCCCAACAACTGCTTTCTACCAGTTTTTAAACTATTTGTAATATTTAGAAGATAAACCTGAAAGATGAAGAGAACCTTCAGAATTTCTAGGACTCAGACCTTCAATTTCCCAATCTCTCTTCCAATCAAACAACAAAAGAAATGGGCACACTGGACACAACTGGCATAACAAGCATCACAGCCTCCCATCGCCAGGCCTGAAGAAATTCCTGCTCCCCAGGAAAATTCACACACTGTCCAGGCCACCACATGGACCAAATAATAATAATAATAAATATAGATATAATAATAATTAAAAAATTCACAACCTGGTCACTCCAGTCCTAACAGCTTTGACAGTTCAGCAGACTGTGCTTCTCCTGGATTAAAGACACTGGCCTTCACACTCATCCTGGCATGAGTGAGTCTCCCTCACAACTCCTTAAAGTAGAATCAAAAGAGAATCCTGGAAAGAATCTGCAAGCTCTGGCACTGGTACTCCTGATTGCCATCCTTCCCAGAGACCATTATCTAGGGCCACCCCGCTGAGCCTCAGGTTATTAGCAGCTCCCCTACTGGGTGAGCAGAGATCATATTACTGCCTTCCACCCAGACAGACAGGTCCCTAGTGTGAAAAGTTTCTATTTTAGGAGAAATTCTTCCAGTCTCCCAAAGCACTTCCGGTTCCTCTCCTAAGGCAGAGTCCTTGTGTGCACATTCCCTTACACACTCAATGTCCAGTGCAGACAACCCATTGCTTCACTGCTGGGAAGTCCTGCAGTCAAACAAGGGTCACAGTCAAACAGTAACTACTATTACCATGTAACTTTTGTTAAAGAAAAACAGGACACAAATTAGAAAACAATGAGGAGTTATGATAGGGCTTGGAAGCAGGAAAGAGACTATATATATATGATGTAGTTATATTATTAAAGAATTATATTTTGTAGAGTCGAAACAGGTTTTATAGCCATGTCCTCCAGAGATCAGGGATTTGTATGTGAGCACAAGGATTACTCACAATTTTTCTCTTAGGTTGTACATCTTTTTTTTTTTTTTTTTTTTTTTTGGTTTGGTTTTTCGAGACAGGGTTTCTCTGTAGCTTTGGAGCTTGTCCTGGAACTCGCTCTTGTAGACCAGGCTGGCCTCGAACTCACAGAGATCCAAGTGCTGGGATTAAAGGCATGTGCTACCACCGCCCGGCTAGGTTGTACATCTTAAATCAGGAAAATAGCAGTCCTGTTAGGCAGGTCCACACTATTTTATCCAGATCTTCTACTTTGGTTGAACTAATGTTAACAACAGTAATTTGGTTTCATGAGAAGGTCAGTCCTTTTTTCTTGACTAACCTGGTCTGTGGACCCCAAGAAATCACCAGTTGGTAAATTTATTGATCATCTAAAATTATTGATTTCATCCCAAGTTCCAGGACAGCCAGAGCAACATAGAGACCCTGTCTCAAAATAAATAAAATTTCAACTGATTTGTATTGACCAGTTGGCCTGGAACTCACTATGTATGTTTTAATGAATAGTGTATATTGAATCTTTTAAAACAATTTCAGTAAATCTTTCATTCTATACCATTGGCTCATTATTCAAAGTATGATAGTTTTCTAAACAAAAGGGAAATTCCAAGCAATTTTCTTTATATTTATATTTGAAGAAAGTGAGAGAAATTTACTGTTTACACTCCTATGTTGTTTACATTTGAAGAACCAGGAAGAATAGAGCCAAAAAATCTAGCAGGAAGAGTAGAGCTAAAAATCTAGGTTAGCCGGTTCAGTGACTCTGTTCCAGGAACTAGCTGACAATAAAGTTAGATTGTAATCTTGAAACAATCTTGAGAAACGGGGAGTTTTTCGGAATTTTCCAATGATGCCCTCCTTACCCCCTTTGGGTTATGGTTTCTTCCCTTAAATACCCATTCTCCCAGCTTCTCTACCCCTGTGTGGGATATGAGTCTCAGCCCCAGGGTGCTGGTTCCTGTCAATAAACCTCATGTGACTGCAGCAAAGATGGTCTCTTGTGAGTTCTTGGGGGTCATGTTATCCTGAGACTTGAGTGAGAGTCTCCCCATTCCAGGGGTCTTTCACCTTCACCTAATCATTTTATGAAGTCAATATCAATCTTTTCTTGAACTCTTATTTTAGAAACATTTCAATAGTTTGTAAATTGAGTCATTTGTACATTTAGTTTTATTGTTAAGATTCCAACTATGAAAGCTGAAACAATGCCTATTAAAGTAAATATTCTAGCTAATATTTTATGAATTTTTAAGAAAGTATTTTTTTAAATAGTTAGAAATTTTTTAAGAATTGGATTGAAATTTTAGGAAAACCAGTATTTTTCTAATTTTACTGGGAACCAGAAAAAGAAATGGAGGTTGTTGAAACACAATTATACTATCATTCGTAGTGCTATCAATACATTGAGATAAACAGGAGCTAATGTATGTTACATGAAATAAAGATGACTCTATTGGATTACTACATTTTCTAGTAAAAACACACGAGGAACAACTACAAAAGCCTGTGCACAACAGGATTTATTGTTCATTGTATCAAAGTAAAATTAGCAGTGTTTCTCATAATGTTTCCTTTCTAAAGGGTAATGAATCAAGTACTAAGTATCAATGTTCACAAGGAAGTATAATATGTTCTCCTGTATTGCGAGCTAAGTAAATCCATATTATTGAAGAAAAAAAAAAGTAAAAGTAAGTTCGTTTCCACACCATACCTTGTTAGATCATGAAATATTTGGTGGAGCCCAACTCATGATAGAGTACATGAAATACTCTGCTTATATTTAACTCAATGTGGGAATAATGGCAAGGTTGCTCCTTGTCCTCCAATTGGACAGGTAGGTAAGTGAAGCACTTCTTTAATAACAGGTAAGTGTTTTGAGATCCCGATTTTTAATAACTTGTTTCTAATAATTTGTATTATTTTTCCCATTTTTTTCAGTTGCCCAAAGGAAAGCCCTACCATCATGATTTCCAAGGCATTCTAGTGCATTATTTATTAATCATGGGCAAACATATATGAATCAGAAACCTTCCTACAATGAGCACAATAAAAACAATCCCCTTAGACATGCACCTGAGGCTACACCTGAAAACCAGAATCCAGTGACATCACTAATTCAAGATAACCAAACACAGTCCTAGAACCCCAAGATGCCCACTGGACAGTATATAAGCAGAAACCAAGAGCAATGCTGTGGTATACACATCCAGAGACACCACCTTGATCTGCCTTGCAGCTAGAGAGTCTCCCGCATTATCATGAGTCTCAAATAGGAGACTTCTGTTAGAGACCTTCAGCTAAGATATTTCAAACAGGAGAACAGCCTTGGGGAGACAGGCTTAAGACCACAGTAAGGAATTCAGAGTGTGAACCTTGTGTGCTGACCATCAGCATAGTAAAATATAGCTTATATTCTACTAACTACAAATATTTACCTTCTTCGTCACCTCCACCATTTGTTGTCAGTTGTTTGGTGGGTTTTTGCCATTCTAACTACAATTACCATGATTCTTACCAACAAATCAATACTATAATCTGTAGAAACAGGAACAATTTATAACATCAAACAACCTCCACAATTCTGACAACAGCCATCATAACCATTTTTTAAAAATAGAAAATAGTGAGTGCTTCAAAACAACAGTATATGAGTTTGCATGCCTTCTATGAGTTTTACTGAGGAGCTCGTCAATATGATTAATCAGGCTATCGCAAAAATATTCAAAGTCTCTAGCAATTTCTGATGGCTAAGAAGGCAATATGGGACTTATGGAAAACTTTATAAAGCAGCCAGGAAGAATTTGGAAGTCCTTTGGGCTCAAAGTAGGATCTAGAGAGTGGTTTAGAGGCTAAGGAATTAGAAGGCTACCTGTTTGTGGGAAGGTCCTTAAAAGGGGAAGGTGGATGCCTGCCTCAGTTTCCCGGCACCAGGGGCTCACCTGTGTGACCATGGCAAGATGTTTCTGTGCTGAAGTGGCAGCAGCATGGCCTCATCTTTCTGGGTTTCATCATCAGCCCTTGTTGACCCGTTTCTCAGCAAGACTCAGCAAGGCTCTCCATGACTGACTCCCAAGGATAAAATTGATCAAGCTCCAGAAACACCTTCTTCAGCTCCACAGATATTGGCAGACAGGCAAGACAAGATCTGGGCTGGTAAGCATAGCTTGTGATCTATGCAGTACTATCTTCCTGTCTCCTTGAGCCAGCCTAGCCAAATGCCTACTAGGCAAGACCTCTTGTAGAGGCAAAAAGTGAAGAAATCGCCGCCCCCTTACAAGCACAAGTAAAACAATCTCCAGAAGGTCCTCTAGGCAAGTCCTTCACAGACACACCTAAAAAAAAAAAAAACCTGCTCACACACCTGCCTCCAGGAAATGTCCTTTAAGAATTATATTAAGATGACTCAGGTGACCTCAGTCCCGAGAAAAGAGGCAGAATGGCAAGAGCTTGGCAGCTACACTGGAGAGCTGCTCTAAGATCAAGGCCAGTGCAGTACAGTGGTAGATCATCCACTGTAACCACAGGGCCCTGATAGTGCAGGGCAAAACTCATACAGGAACTGGGAACACAGAGCCACAGCTGGCAGTGTAGACAGATCATGAGCCCCCCAACATCTCAGGTGAAGGAGAAAACATGACCAAACAACATATTAACACAGAAGGTGGGATGGGGGATAAAATGAGACCCCAGATGTGGATAATGATTGACATAGGGAGAATAATGTTTTCCCAGGGAAAAGCCCCCTAGTTGGTTATCCAATACAAAGTAGTCTGCCCTGAAATCATATAAATATAAGAAATACTAAATGGACTCAGGAGCTTATATATATATAGTCAAGTGAACACATATATATTCAATAATAATAAAAGAAAAAGAGGTAATCAATTTGAGACAGTGAGTGGGGTGCATGAGGTAATTGGAGAAAGGAAAGTGAGATGATATGTATTTATATTTTAAGAAGAATTTTAAATGCTAATCTTGAGACATAGTATTAAATAGAGAGCTATGAGAAAATGAAATACAAATGGTTGACAAACACGTAAAAATGTTCAACATTTGTAGCCACTGGGGAAATGCAAATTAGAATATCTCTCTGATTTAATCTTACCCCAGTCAGAATTTGGATTAAAAATCCAAAGAGGAAATGACAAGTGCTGGCATAGATGTGTGGTAAAGGAAACTCCATTTCAGTGCTTGAGGGAATGCAAATGAGTGAAAACAGTTTAAAACTTAGTAATGGAGGTTCCTCAAAATCCTAACTGTAGATATTCTATTTGACCCAGTAGTACCACTCCCATATATAAATATAAAATAGGGAGTCAATATCCTTTTCTAGAGACTTCTGTCAATTTACAGTACATTTAGATTGAGATTACATTTACAGTAGCCAGGAAATAAAAGCATCCTGGATTTGCACCAACTAATGAATAAATAATGAAAACTGCTACAGTTATACTGCACAATATCATTCAGATAATGAGAAAATGAAACTAATAGAATTCACAACTAAATTGCATAGGGTCCACAGGTCTACCCCTCCTCCCAAAGTTCATCTTTAGGACAGTTTCTGGCTAGACATCTTGTTGCAATTTCCGGCTAAACATCCTGTTTGTTTCTGTGCTCCCTCTGCCTTCCTGGTGGATAGCTATAGGGCCATTGTTTACTCCATCTTGGGCCTGCACTGCATGGGGGTGGGGGTGGAGGTGGGGTGGTTTCATTATGCCCCAGTTAGGTATATAAGGGTTTTCCTAAGTTTGTCTCTTAAAGGGACATGACAGAAACACAGAAAGTAAGTAATCTCATACCAGAAAAGCCAAAAGAAGGGAATCAATCTCTCTCTCTCATACACACACACCAACAATAACAGGAATCAATAATCATTGGTCATTGCTATGGCTCAATAGAAATGGTGTGAATTATACAATAAGAAGACACAGACTAGGTCCATATTTTGCTGAAACACACCTCAGCATCAAGGATAGACATTAGCTCAGGTAAAATGTTGAAAAAGCTATTGCAAGAAAATGAAGGAGCATGCTGATGTAGCCATTTAAAAATCTATCCAAATGTGCAACCACCCATTAAATTCCCCTAACTATCCTCAAGGCGGACTAAAATACAGAATTGTATTTTGTTCTTCGTTCTGGAAGTCTGGGTTCACAATGATGGACTAGGTATATACTTTGCTGTAAATATCAGACACTGTATTATCACTATCTTTTATATTTTGCCTATATCTTATGATAAAACTTCCAGAGCAGCAATAAAATGTTGGTTAAAAATGAAAAACTGATATTAATATATGTATATGTATTGAAATTGCTCTAAGTATGTAATGACCAAACATTAACATGTACATTATCAGGAAGAGATCTTAGATTTTAGGAGCAAAGTAAGAAGCAAATACTTCTCTAGTGCCAGACATTAGTTAGATACCTTTGCCACAGTACAAAGTTGGCAATTAAAGTAGCATACAAATTATAATATCATCCATTAGTATAGGAAGGTGATAAGAAAGTCCTTAAACTTTAAAAAATACACAATACATGTATTAGCAAATAATCACTCCAGTGTGAAGATTCCACGTGATGTCAGCTTGAGAGTTCCTCCTTCTGTGAAACTCTCTAGAGCTGCAAATTACAAATATCTACTGTAGGGCCCAGTCATGACAGGCACAATACATACCACAAACTGAGACCACCTAGGCACCACTAAAGGAACTGACCAGCCCTGGGGAAAAACATACCTAACATTCCAACCACTGTAGATAGGATTCGAGGCGTCCCTTAGCCCAGCACACACCCATCCACTTTCACCAAGCCATCCCTAGACAGATGTCAGTCAGTCAAGGGTCCTGAACCTTGGAAATCCCTCACCCCAACTTCTGCTATGATAAAATTCCACCCCAACTGAATTTGAGGCTCTGATTGTGTCGATGTGCTGAACACATGGAAAGCCCAAGTTCAAACTTGCATAAAGGCATTTGGTCTCCCTGGTGGTCTTTTGGGGGTCCCTGCAATTTGGACCTTACACCTACATTAAAACAGTTTTATTTAAAATTCCATTTTCTAGGTTCCACCTCCTAAGTGTTATGATTCAGAGTAACTCAGATGTTGTTAATCTTGTGATGGTCAAATTGAACTAAACTAAGATTACCTCTGTTATAATCTGTTGGCCTGGCCTGTCACCTGGGTACCCTGTCCCTTTAAGAGACAAGTCCTACCCACTCCCAATCTTCCCCCTTCCAACCACAGAGGCAAGGGATTTCCCGCCTCCTCTCTAGCCCACTCTCTCTGTCAGTCTTCAGAAGACGTAACTACTATACTACCTCCCTACCCTGTTTCCCCTTTTCTCTCTCTCTCTTCCCCTCTTTTCTCCATAATTCCTCTACCCATTATACCCAAGCTCTCTCTACCCAAGCTCTCTCTACACGGCATAGCTGTTTGTCTCTCACCCACCACAGGACCTGCCAGGGTCATACCAGTATGAACGAAAACAACCCTTCTTATGCCCTCTTTATGATCCCAAGTTCCCAAAACGAGTCAAATTCTAGGCTGGATATAACTAATGAGAGTATGACTGATGACAGCTACTAACCACATGACTGATGACAGCCACTAACCACATGACTGATGACAGCCACTAACCACATGTCTCCACCAAGCCTGATGTACTGATTTATTTTTAACTACTTTACTCTTCAATTCTGTACTTCTACTTCCCCTCATCCTAACCAAACAGGTTAGATGTCAGCTACCCCAAGACCTTTCGACAAGGCTGTGACCCACTTGTGGTTTTCCCCTTTATAAATCCTGTAATTTGCTGACCTGGCCTATCACCTTGGTGCCCAGTCCCTTTAAGAGACAAGCCCTGCCCATTCCCAACCTCCCCTTTCTGTCTCCCTGTCCCTCCCTACCCCCACCTCCCCCACTTCTTCTGTAGAGGTAGCTTCTGTTTCTCTTTCTTCTCTTCCCCCTTCCCTTTTCCTTCTATAACCCGCTAAATAAACCCTATACTCCAGCTCTCTCTGCATAGCCCATCTATCTGTCTCTCCCTGCCAAGGCCTTGGCAGCCGCTGCCCCTCATGGGGCACAACCTCTCCAGCAAAGGCTATCATTGGTGTTTTTGATTTTCGCCATTCTGACAGGTGTAGAAAATCATATAGGCATCCTCCTGAATATTAACCTTCATCAGGCGATGAAAGGAGACAGAGACAAAGACCCACATTGGAGCACCAGTCTGAAATCTCATGGTCCTAATCAGGAGCAGAAGGAGAGAGAGCACAAGCAAGGAACTCAAGACCGCGAGGGGTGCACCCACACACTGAGACAATGGGGATGTTCTATAGGGAACTCACCAAGGCCAGCTGGCCTGGGTCTGAAAAAGCCTGGGTTAAATCGGGTCTCGCTGAACATAGCGGACAAGGAGGACTACTGAGACCTCAAGAACAATGGAAATGGGTTTTTGATCCTACTTCACCTATTGGTTTCGTGGGAGCCTAGGGAGTTTGGATGCTCACATTACTAGACCTGGATGGAGGTGGGTGGTCCTTGAACTTCCCACAGGGCAGGGAACCCTGATTGCTCTTTGGGCTGATGAGGGAGGGGGACTTGGTTGGGGGAGGGGGAGGGAAAGGGGAGGCGGTGGGGAAGAGACAGAAATCTTTAATAAATAAATAAAAAAAAGTAAAAGTAGGAAGGGTTTTAAATTCCTCTTGCTGGAGATAACACTGTCTCCTTTTACCAAACAGAACTATCCTCAAGTCCCTGGAGGGACTGGAGACCCTTTATCCAAAAGTCTGACCTTTATCCAAATGTCTGACCTTGGGAAAAGGACTTCTACTGGTGAGCAGAAACTTACTACAGTTTCTTAGTCTTTAACTATAAAAGCCTGTTCCCCTGATAATGATCACCAAAGGGAAGGTCCTGATGTCTTTTCCCTTTATACCATTCTGATTTCTCTGTATTTACTAACTGCACTCTTGACTTAAAAGGCCTCAGGCTGTGGATCTGAATTGTAGGCATTTCATCCTTGGGATGAGGAGTGTCTAGGAACTCTCCAACAATCCTGTTCTTGGTGTAATTAGGAGGAAAAAATAGAATTCCTGGTTACCAGGATTTTTTCCCCAAAGAATCCTTTATCAAAGCCCACACAAAATTTTCCAAAAGAAAGGCATTAAAATTGATCATTAAAAATGAAAGTAAAAAGGTGCTGGAGAAGTGTGGTCTGCAATGTTAAAATGCTGGAACTTTGTCAAGCAGCAGTGGCCACCTTGCAGTCCATGCTATCTCTCCCTATATATTTTTTAAACTAGACATTTTGAAATCATGTT